GTATTTGGTTTGGTTTATCTTTGTTGAGGCTGGCAGGATTTATTTGATCCCCTGCGGCTGTTACTAGCTTGCCTAGCATTTGTTGCCATTGCTGTTGACTTAAGAGGGTTTTAGAGGTCATACGAAATGTAAGAGAGGAGTCCTCTGCAGATGATGTCAAAACCTTGCCTTTTTTGTACATTAGTACAGGAAGACCAAGATGGCTTTACAGAAAAGAGAAAGCTTTACAAATACATATAACTAAAGGAATTTTCTAACCTTTCTGTCTGGAAAATCAACCATCTTGTGTATCTGAGGAATAATTCTACTCTTTTTATTGAAGATTATAGGCACACTTCTAATAAATCCTTCAGAATTTTCAGTTTATTTATTTGGAGCAAGGTAGACTTCTATTACAATGGGATAAAAAGTTTATTTCTCAGAAGTGTCATCTGTTTGCTCTCTAGCAGAAACCATGAAAAAGAGAAAGGAATCTGAAGTAGGGACCTGTAGCTTATTTAGCCAGCTGCTGGGAAGTTTCTTTAATCAGTAAACTTAACTTGTTTCAGTCTTTTCACTAATGGAAAACTCCTATTGGTATACCTTCACTTTGAAGGTATAAACATTTTAGCAAAATATTCTGTCTTTACAGCATATTTTATATACTTGCCACTTCACACCTCACAAACTGAAATGCACACAACGTCTGAATTTGTTCTTGTATCCTACAAACTAGCTAGCATATTGCACTCTTTTGATTCTTAGGACAATTTCAATATTCTCTTGAATAATGTATTTCCTTTTGAACTTTCAAGTTACTATGTTTCAGTAATAATCACAATACTGTGATTATTTATGCTACTGAAGAAAACCAACTGAAGAAAACCAAATTAGAACTGACTATTCAGTATCTAGTCTACTAAAAATACCACAGAAGTCAAGCTCTGCAGAATAATGATACAGCACAAAAAAATACTTCATAAAGCTCATACAGGGTATGATATCAAATTGTGTCTCTAGAGAAGCCCTAAGAAACATATGATCTTTGTACTCTATTAATCTTGCAGCTGCATCTGATAAAAACAAACTAAAAAAAATAGATTTATAAAGCAGAAAAATTACATTTAGAAATTTTGATGACATGTAAGTGACTCAATTGCCTATAGTAAGTAAAATCTAATGGTGGATCATACCTTATGTAGCTGTTACCAAAATAATTACATTAAGAAATTTCGATGACATGTGACTCAATTGCCTATAGTAAGTAAAATCTAATGGTGGATCATACCTTATGTAGCTGTTACCAAAATATTTAATTAACTTATCCTGGAATAATGTGCTTTATTTAACATAAAACAGGGCTTTAAAAGCAGAAAAACATTAAGATAAATTCATATGAAATAATTTCTAAGAAGTTCGTACTCATCAATTTTGTTTATTCAAGACTGCTTTACAGAGGCAGAAGACTAAATGGAATTACTAATCAGCAGAGTAACTGTCTTTTTAAGTTATTGCCTCTACAATATGACTCAGTAAAGGGTTCTGCCTGAGGCTTATCTGGTACCCAATGAACAAAATTTTGATATGTTTTACCACCAGTGTTTTCTGCCAAAAAGATTTCTCTGAAGATAGACACATCACACAGTGACTAATCAGGTTAACATGTTTAATTGACTAACTCAGTAAAAGATTTAGATGAGAAAATGGGAGTAGAAGGTGAGACAAAAGCTCAGTATTTAATGCCATTTTAATATAAAAGCAGAGGGGGAAAAACCAAATGAGGATATAGTATATAAAAGAACATGAGACTGAAGCATGGGGAAGAAAATAAACGGAAATTCTAATATAGGAGATTTAGATTGGTAGATGATGCAGTAAGTGAAAGGGCTATGCTTAGTGCACAAATTGCGTGATGGCAGCGCGAAATAAACGATGCATTGTCCACAGAGCACTGCACAGCAGCATGGAGGAACCAGAACTACTAGAACACTACATGAAACTAGATATTCTAAAAATAATAGAAGAGAGAGAACAGGTGTAACCAAACATCCAGCTATTTTGCTGTACAAGAAGTAAAAAAAGAGGAGGTTAGTTTATGAAACCTGCAAAGGATATGCGTGTTTTTATTTCTTCATGTTCTTGGGCCTACTCCATAACCTCTTCCATTCTGTCATATCCTTATCAAGACCCAGAGACTAGAAACAGTTGCACTACTCAAAGTTTAATATACTTAAAATTAGAAAGTCTGATAACACCTGTTTCCATATTCCAAAGTAGAACTGGCCCATGAAAAGGTAACACAGATGATAATCTGAGGTTTGCAATGTATCTGCAGTGATATCCTATGACTAGTAAGAAACGTATTATAAATTTTTCAGAAAAGGAAAAAAGATTCCAAGAAACCACAAAACAGCTGATTAGACTTCTATACTATGTAAAGATTTAATGAGTGAACACTGAAACACATGCAGGTAAGTGGAAAGTAATACCATTTGATGTTGTTTTACAATGAAGATAAACAAGTAATTAATTTGAAAGCACCTCATATGGCAGCACATACAAATGTAATAACTACAGAAGACTACGATTAGAATGAAATTTAAAGAAGAGTACTGAATGATTCTTAAAAGGGAAATCGGAGTTGGAGAGAAATTGCTAAAGGGATTAGTCATGAGCTTGCTCTTAGACAGACTTCACTAAATATTTCCACTAATAAGATTAGCAGAAAAAGTCCCAATGAACTATGCTGACAACAAAACTGGGAGAAGCTGTGAATAAGGACAAGATTTAAATAGGCAGGAAGAAATAAAAGAATGAGAAAGGCCTGCATATCTGTTTGATTAAAGAAGACTGTGAGCACAATCAGTCACAATGCAAAGGGGAAGTGTGGTACTGTTCCGTCATTGGAGACAGAGGTTCTTAGGACCAAAAGAAAAGCACTAATGATGTAAAAGGCACTGGTAAGAGCTCATATGAAATACCATGTTAAATTCTAGTCACCCCTGTGCAAGAATATTAAACTCAAAATAGGGTATTTGAGATACAGGTTTGCTGAATGAAAACTCTTACAAAAGCAGATAGAAAGTAATTGACTTGTTCCAATTATAAAATAGGACACACACAAAAAAATATCTACTTAAGCTAAAGGGCATTCTCCCCATCAGGGCAAATGATTATGAACTTTCCATGAATTAATTTAGATTGAAAGCTTGATCTTCTAACTCAAAACGAGTAGATAAAGAGACCTGAACTCCCGAATAGTTCTAAAATGGACGTTAAAACTGTTTTAACTGGATTACAGGACCTGGTTCCTGCAACTACAAGGGAAACTATTGGATAACCCAAGAAGTTGAACTCTGCTGTACTTCCATGGAAATGTGTTTATCAAAATGTTTCTATGAGTAAGTAAGTGCACGTTTTGGAAGAAGCTCCACCACTAACAAAAATATAAGGAAAATACTTTATTTTCTATTTAAGTAACAGATCTAGGGATTGCAGCAAATCACAACTAATTCTCCCATGTTAGCATGGTCTCCGGAGAACTACTGCATGAAGTTTGAGGTATTGAAAACAAATGTAGAAAACCTATAGTGGTGAGTAATCAGGCTGAACAGAGGTCTATCAAACACAACCAAAAAGACCAAACTTGAGGTGGTTTAGTTCAATAAAGACAATATCAGAAAAAGAAAATGGTCAGAGTCTTCTAGGATATACAAAAGCTATTTCAAAGATAAAGTTAACAGAATCATTTCCAGATTTACTGAGACAGAGCAAGAAGTAACGGGTATAAACTACATCAAGGGAAATTACATAAATATCTTGGAAAAAAAACTTTCCAATGGTGAGGATGTGCAGCACTGAGTTGTATTTCCTTGGGAGTCTATGTAGTCTTCTGAGGTTTTAAAGATCTTGCAGGATACATCTGTCAGGGATAACTGAAGCTCCTATCTTGCCTTGAGGTAGAATGATAAGCAGAAGACCCATTTGGTTTTACTGCTTATGATACAGTGTTTTGGACTCTAGGAAAGGAAATTACTAATTTTACCAAGAGGTCAACTAAGGAAAAGAGTGTTGTCCTGGTTTTGGCTGGGATAGCCTTACTTTTCTTCCTAGTGAGCGAGTAGCTGCATGGTACTTCGATGGCAGCTGGGGTTAAACAACGACAAGTGTATGTTTGAGCATGCTGAGAGAATAACATCCTCAACTATGGGAAACAGTAATCAGCTGCTGGACTGATTGTAGTGATCAAGTTTCAGGACTGACTGTTTCAGACTCTTGGGTACCTCAGATGTGAAAGCTTTGTCCTGTATCTGCCAAAGGGATGTCTGTTACAATCCCAGCGGATCAGAGATCAGATCCTTGGGTTGACACTGGTGTAGGGCTATGTAGTGTTTCTGTCTAGCACAGGAGGTAAAGGAGCATGGCAGCTAAGAAAACAGTATTATTTTTTACTACTTATGTTAAACAGCCACTAGAGCTAAGATGAAAGTTGTGTTTTGAAGAAAAAAGGAATACAAATTAGTTTAGAATGGAGTAAGATATTCTGCGGGAAAGCCCAAACCAAAACTGCAGTCCATACAAAATAAATCATCCTAAAGAAGATACACTTTTCTAAACTTGATTTTCATGTACCTTTCCTTGAAATCATGTGCAACAATATTCTGTGTTACCATAAATGTAATAAATTTGATATCTATATATATCCCTTCCAGGTATTTGTCACTTTTTGCTGGAAGATATGAACCAAGAGATTTAAGTTCTTTCTGATGAAGACAACAAATAGGAAAAAAATAGTCACATATGGAAACATTTTGCATATCCTGCAATTTTAGAGTTATCTCTATTTTCTTCCCTATTCTTATTGTTTCTTTTCAAAGTGTGTTCCATTCTCTAAACTGTTGTTCAATATGTAATCCAGTGTTTTCTTTCACCATTTCTAGGTCTGTAGGGAATCATCACTGTCAAAATCTTGCCTATGGATTTATTCTTTATATGTCTTGTCTTCCATTGTTCTCTTGAGACTTCAGGCTCAATATTTGGGAATCATATGAATAATCTTTTCTTGGACAAAATGTAATCTGGCAAGGCCGCTCTAAAGCGGCGATCCACTCCTTAGCATCTAAGGAAGGTAATATCACTTGTTTTAATATGAGGATTGACAAAAAAAAAAATTTACCAGAATTCATTCCCTCCCCTTTCCTTATTGTTCCAAATGGATCACAAATATTTACAAATTTAACTTTATTTTGCAAAGCTATGAAGAGTGATTATTTTATCTATTATTCTTACTTTACTTAGATCTGGAATGCAGCATTTAAGTTTGTAATTAGATTAAAGCATTGCATTATTATGCCCCCTTTAAGAAATTTAAGAACAAAAATGATCATCTTGTTCGTCTCACTGTAAAACAGCACTTGAAACATAATTTGTCAGGTTACAGATTTTCTATGCTAATTCCAAAAAACCCCACTGCTATCTAGAGGTCTGAATTTAATCTGATTGATTTTAATTTAAACGAGTCCATAGAAATTGTGAATCTGGTGTAAAATCTAAATCAACAAGGTCTTACAAAAGTTCTACCCAAGTATTAACCTGATCTAGTACTTTTTACCTTTACGGACTTGACAGGATCACAACCCAAAACAGTATGGCATAACAATTTTATAAAGTTAAATAGCATTTACAGAGTACCTTCAATGTAGTATATTTCAGGCAACGGTTCAGAACTTTTCCTTCTAACTTCCACTTGTTGCTTAAAAAATGTCTTTATAAGGTGTTTTGCCTAAGTTGAAACAAATAATATTTTTTCAGATTCTTTGATGGAAAGAGGTCAGAATAGAAGAAAAGACAAAAGAATGAGAATATGAGTTAGGATTAAGATTTAAAGGATGTACCACTAATCTTTTGATTGTAGCTGAATGGAAACAGGAGGACAATCTGATGTTCTTGGATACGTTGGTTTCAATTTTGATAAACCTTGATCAGTTAATGCAATGTCTTTGAAAGTGTTCCGGTTTATACAAATAGAACTTTAAAGGTTAATCCGTGGCAATTTTGCCTACATTAGACATCTGTAGCCGAACATCAATAGGCTTGCAGCTTTCCCATCTACATAGGTACTATTATTCAGGTCCCCTTATATTTCAGACATACTTTCCATCTTATTAGCTATTTCTGTTCAATAAAAAGAAAATGCCAAAGGTCTCCTAAAGCCAAGTTAAATAAGGGAATTATTATTATTATTATATCAAACAAATATAATCACAGAAGATCAATTCCCTTACTCAAAAAGATTTGCACAAATATAATCCCAGATAGGAAAAACATTCCTTTCAATCAGTGCAGAACCAGCAGCACAGAATCACAGAAATGTTAGGACACAAGGCTCTATTCCATCTCATCTACTCCATCTCCCTAGCCAAAGGCAATGTTTATTTTTAAAAATCCTTTATTTTCTCTGGAATTTTGGACCATTTTTTATGAAGTGTCTTCCACTGCAATATTAAATATCTGAAGTCATAGTAGTTAAAATTAAAAATCTGACTTCTAACTAGATAAAATATATAAAATATGTAAAAAAAAATAGACCCATTAGCAATCTCACAAAGTCTAACAGTAAAAAAAAATATCAATGCTTCCTATCCAGACAGTGCTCCATTTGTATACAGGGATTAATTATATATATCAAAAGCTAAAAAGAAAAGGCAAAAAGAAAAAAAAACCACACACTTTAATAGGCTTGCAAGGTTCAGTATACATACAAATTGGCAAAAACAATTTTATTTATTCTCTCTTAATTTGATCTTCTTGTCTGTATGAAAAAGATGAACTTTGATCATGAGCTTTCCCCACAAATTTAGGTGGTTGTTTTTTTCAGTGGAAAGGATGGAAGCTGCTTAATGAGTACAATGTTATTTTAGACTCCCTCACCCTTCTGCTGGAATCCCAAAGCATGATTTGCACACCTGCTGTTTCTTGTTATTCCTCCTGTATTTCCTGTCCCCTTTCTCCTTTCCCCTTTAAGAACCTCTGAATTAACAGTTAACCTGGTAAGCAAGACTCTGGCTTCTGGTCGTCTACTGTAAAAGCCAAAGGCCTTCAAGCAGCTAAAATTCTGCCAGATCAATAATAAAATCACTTCGAAGTGATGGAAAGGCACTCCCATTGCAAAACTGCATGTTTGATATTTATAAGATAGCACATGTTCAAAGTTTCCCAATTGTCTTGCCACTTTGATATACTGTCTTTAATATAGACTGATAGTGTGATCTGCCTTATCCATAACGGCAATAGAATATTAGCAATTTTAACTGATACAAATTTTATATCCACTAAAACTTTTATATTCATTTACTAAACAAAGTATATTTCTTTTTTTATGTTATTATACTTTATCCTGAGAGTAGCTTATTATGTTGGTTGCCTTTTTATTCGTCCATCTACTGTACCTTGTTTAGTCTATGAAATGCATCACAAGCACTTTGCTGACATAGTCTGTTGTGGTTTTCTCTCTCAGGAAGCAACTGTAACAAAACACAATCTGTTTATAGAAGAACAAAGTCAACGAAATAATTTTTTTTTTTATTTACTGGTTTAAGATTCTAGTCAGTTCTGATGCAAGTATTTAGGTCTTTTTACCATATTTCAGATGTCTAACTTGCAATGTTTTAAAGAAATCACAGAGCCTGTCCTCTTACATATATTACATGTCTATGTCCAATTTTCAGTATACTTACATATTTTATGGGAACTGTCATTTATTTGTAAATTGTAATGACAAGGAAATGTATAATTTTGGATTCTTCCTAGATTTATAAATATCTGGATCTTTTCAAAAGAAATAAGCTACTCCCTCTCTAATTACCTGCCTGCTGTTGTGGTTTTATGAAGACTCAGGTTTTAAAACAGTCATCCAGGAAACCTAACAGTTCAAGCTTCTGACTATTTCTGCAATGGACCCAAGTTTTGTCTCAAGAACAATCAATCAGGGCAATATCTAGTGCTTTTAAAGATTGTCCCTGCCACCCAACCCCACCCTCTGCACAAACACATCAGTTCCTGAGCCTCAACCACTCAACCCTTTACATTCTCATAGGAATGCCTATGACACATAGGACCAAAGGAAGACTTCAAGTATGGACTGAAGAAAAAGCGTAGTGTTTTAGTAATCCATTTGCATGGGTCCACATTCCTTACCAACTGACTACTACTAATATGTTATGCTGAAGGCCTGGGAAATAGTTAACTAAGCTGCTGGACTGCTCTCCAGAGCTGACAGAACTGCATAAGCTGCCATATTAAGAATAAAATTATCTGTTAACACGTGAATTTAACTCCTTATATTATTAGCTTGGAAGTAATTCTGAAACACCAAATGCTACTTAGAAATCAAAAAGTACTTTCTAAGACTACAAGCTACTTAAGAACATGTAGTTTACCACGCGGTCGTATCAAACTTTACATCCACCTAAATCTCTAACTGTAGGGAATTTCTCCTCCTAATGCTCAAATATTCTATAAAGCCTGCACATTGGCTAAATCTCATTTATGTAGTCTCAACAACCTTAGAATTAATCTTAACTAACTACACTATCAAGTAATGAGACTCTTCAGATACGTCAGTGCTATCGACTACAAATACAGTTTTCAGAGAAACACAACTGACTAATAGTTCAATTGTTTTTATAAGCAACTATATTTAATTTTCAAGAAAATTAAAATTGGAAAGTGGAAAATGAAGCATAATTGGTATACTTTGTTCAGAAAGGGATCTTTTCAAATTGCATGTCTTCATACATAGTGACTAATCTAATATAGCATATGAAAACAATGGCCTTTTTAGGGCTGAAATAATTAGTAAGTTCAAGAAAATATTGCAGATGTTCTTACGTACATTCAGGTCAATAATTAGCATCTCTTCACGCTTTAGCTATCTCTTTTAATAACAAAGTACTTCAAGTGAACTGAACATATACTGAGACTGTTTTAAAGGTTTCTTCAGACCTCACTCACAGCATAAAGAAGTTGAGACTTTCTTTTCATATGGTTTCAGTGTTCAGAAGGAATATTCTAAGAACAAGTCTCAAGAAAAAAAGTGTCTCCTTTGGATTGACATGGCACTGGGATTTCTGACTTTCACAGTTAATGCCTTGACATGAATTTCACATGCAATACTTTGAAGCATTTTTACAATCAAGAAAGTACTATCAAACCCTTACAATACTTTCTGCATATAAGCAGCAAATATATTCCATTAACTATAAAGATTCTAACCATTCTTCAAAAGCAAGTCAGAATTTTACCTGAAAATGTAAAGAAGATTTCATTCTGTAGACCTCCTCTCTGCGTTTTTACACAATGGTATTCTGACTTAATTAATGTAACCTCACAAGAAAGTTCAGCAACAAGTTTGCTTAGTATCTGAAGCAATGCTTTCTCAAAAGAAATGTTATGAGAACTGTTGCAGGGGGCTGTGTGATACTGGGCTGCGAACTCATAATAATTTTTAGGATCAGAATAACTGCAAGGAAAAAAATGAGGAAGATGATGAGGAACATATATGAAGTAAAAAGAAGAAGAGTAATTTATGTATTTGAAAATAAAATTGCAAATTTAAATCCTTAATTTATAAACAAAACCTACTTTGCACTCCCAGAGAGTTTTTAATGATAAAATAGTGTATGCTGGGCCAGTTGGAAACATTTAAGAGATTTTTACAAGTCAACATTCTAATTTCTATCCATAGGTAAGTCTTACTCCTTATTATTGTAATTTTTTAATTTTTAAACCAACAGGAGATTACAGTAAAGGGATCAGGAATATGAACACTAAGGTTAAGAAGCATACAAAATACCCCTTAGTATGTGGCACAATATTTCATCTCACGCATTATGGCCAGTTATAGTAGTATGTTACATACTATTTCATCAACTATCACAAAAGTATTTTAAAGGGCTTAAAAACTGAATCCTCTTCCCCAGAGATCAATAGAAGATAAACTAATAAGATGAACAGGAATTCCTTCTCTGTGAGCAGAGGTAACTGAAACAGCTTCCATATAAGTATAAAGTTTACTTTTATGGATGGATCAGCTATTTCACCTTTACTGCAAAGCTAAATGCACACCTGGGCATCTTTTACAAATAAGGCAATGTACTATAAAATGTGTATTTCTAGTTATTTCAAATAGCTGAAGATCAACAAAGCATGATGTTAAATAGAAAACAGGAGTAAAAGAATGAAGAACAGGGGTCATGATGTGGGTATAATCACAGAAATGAGAAGGGGGTGGCGGTGAAGAAAAAAATTAAGGAATAGAAACCAAACCAGCTGAAAGAAGCAGAACATCCAAAATACGGTACCCAATTAAGACAGCTCAGTAGATCCTCTACCTTCCTTTTGCCTCCCCCATTTCCTTTCCCTTGCTGCTGCATATTCCAGATTTTTTTGTATATATGTATGAAACTTGAATTTTGTATGCCAACATTCAGATTTGATCCTTATTGAAAGATGGAAGTCTGCATTACTGAAAACTGTAACCTTTTCCATCAAAATTCTTTCAAAGAAACTTCTTCCTTTCCAGTTCTGTCACGCAAGCTAGCTGCTAAAAGTCATGGTAATTCTGTATGAAAGCTACTGTGCAGAAGTAAAATTAATTTACATTAGAGGTTAATTTAGGTTATTGTGCTCTACCATGTTTCTAAATGAGCACTGGTATGCATTTTAAATTGAAGATCAGACATAGTTTCTGCTGAAGGCAACAGGAGCTCTTGCCTACATCTCCACAAGAATAAAATATCCTTTAAAGTAGAAAAGGAGAGCTTATAAGGAATGACATTGACTTTACAATCTTTCACTTTATCAAAGACTTTTTACCTGCTTCCAGAAGGAAAAGTAATGAGAATAGGAAAAAATAAACTACAAATATTACGTCATTAAATTATATGTACTTAAAAAACACAATCATGTAATAATGAAGGCATTAACATGTGTGAAATAAATCCATACAGCTGTGCTAAAATTAATCTCATAAAGAATAATTCAATTTAAAATTACACTACTTTAATGTTATTGAGGATTACTGCCTATTCAATTTGTTACATTTCATTATGTTTTATGTTTCTTTTTTAAAAAGAACTGTATTCATGTGTTTCTCATTCAGCCACTGAGCTTTATTTAAGGCTCTGTAAATGACATTAAATGAACTGCCTGGTAGTAACTAATATTAAAAACAATTTCTCAGAGAAACAGAATGTCTTTATCTCAGCAAATTGAATTCTAAATAAGTCTACTTATTTAAAAATAGCAACACATATTTTAAAAAATAAAACTTTTTCAAGGCAACAACACACTTACCTGGATTGATAACTTACCATAAATAATATATTTTATTACAAGGTTTTTATCAAATTGCATTGCTGTTAGCTTATAAACAATGGAACAAGTGTAAACTCCGCTCAGGTTGAATTGTCTCAATATTGAAGTTCCTGATGGTGATATTTGCACTCCGCTATTTTCTAGTAAACACAATAATGAAATAAATTCAGTTGTCATCATGAGAAAATGCAGAAAGTAAGTGTCCAAACAGTTATTTACTGTTAAGCTGTGCACAAAATAATAATGTTATGGATTCAGCTGAAGGCACAGGACTCAGACACTGAAGCTGATTGAACGTCACCCAGTTCAGTATTACACAAATATGCCTTATTGCTGCTGTGTTTTTAAGTATTGGTTGACAAATCAGTCCTAGAAACGTGTTTTTATTTCATCTCAGACATCTATTGTTCACTCCAATAACCACTTCCAAGACCAAAAAACTCCCAGAAAAAAGTGGTAAATAATCTCTTTTTATACCTCTATATAGTCAAACTGACTACTGACATTTCAGTCTTCAGGAACTGCCTCATGAATTAGCTGGTGGTATTTAAGATGCAGTAAACTTCAAAGCAGGCAAGACAGGAAGTTCAAGTTATCAGACCTTCCAAAAAAATTAAATGTATATGCCAAAATGAGAATCGTGTATGTTTAAGATTGTAAAATAATCCTTCTGTATGGAAGTACCTGCATTGTTAAGGAGGCCAAAGTCTTTTAACACAACTCCTTAGTTCAAGGCAGAGAGGAAGTAGGATCCTACCTCAAAGGACAAATCATGAGCATGGCTCTTTAATTAGGTTTTTAAAGAGGAAGGATAGCGCTGCTTAAGGTCAGATTTGGGCACTGATAATGAGACATACAGTTGTCCCATGTAGTCTGCATGTGGGTTACATGATGACAGTTGATGAGTCCTTTTCTGACTTGAAAAGTCCTCAGGCAGTAACAATATAGATAAGGGTTTCTCAAATAGTAATATGCAGCCCATCTTGCTCTCAAAGAAAACCTTGGGAACAACTAGATTAGAGCTGATTATAATAGATTTCAAGGTAAAATACTCACTTTGATAAAATATTTTCAGAATGGATTCTTGTTTCCATTTTCAGATGCCAAAAAAAATATCTTTTTTACATCCTAAATAATTTAGACCTTTTATGTCGACAATGAAAGCTTAGACAATTAGAGTGGTGCAAAAGCAGCATATTTTTAAACTGAAAAAATCAATGCTAAGGACATGAGATCACACATCTTAGGGCTTTTACTTCAGACTAGTCCTAATCCGGTTTTGTAGATCGAGCACGCATTATTTCTTGAAGCAAACATTTCCAATGAGCTTCATCCAAAATGAATCCAGTTTATGCACTCAAAGACCAGAACACAATCCATCAAAATGTGGTAAGTGGGTAGAATCAAGCAATTCACTTCAAGTGAATTCAAACTAACATGCTACTGTAGATGCATGCTGCTTATTCTCTTGGTATGCAATTTTAAGAAAGACATTGGGGAAAAAAATAGCCTGATTGAAGTGCATCTTTTTACATACTTGTCAAGAGGGTGTAGGACAACTTTGATCCTCAAGAAACCATTTAAGCTTTTAATTACCCGAATTTTGTCATATATATCACCGTGTTTAAAAAAATATTCAAGTGCTGGTAAAAAAGTACTATTAAAAAGACTGAAAGCGCAAATTCTTTGACAAGAATGATTTGGGATTCCGTATCAGCCTAGGCTCTTACATTAATGACACACTGTCTTTCATTTTTTGGATGATGAAGAGGTTTTTAATCTGATGATGAACTAGTCCGGATGCTAAATCTATAAACTAGGATGTCATTTGCTACTGTATGCTGGACTAGCTATCAGATTAATATTGTCAGAAAAACAGCATAGATTTAAGAACTATGGTTCTGATCTTTGGCATTTGCAACTGCCCTGTGTGGGCTGAAAGCAACAACACCGTTAGTTGACTGGATAGCTGGAGCACCTTTAAGATATATCACAGACAGCTTTGCTATGCTTATAAAATGCATTACTGAACTGCAAAGATGACAAGAAGTCTGCAAAAGACAAAGCTTGGAAATCCAGTGAAGAGATCTGGTCACAAATTTTTTTTTGAAAGTACATCAGCAGAAACAGAAAAGTAGTGTTCTTCTGATGAACTGAGTCACTGACTTTATTATAGAATTTTACCCTACCTTGAACAACGAATGCTTCACATACCAGAAAAGATCAGAATTTTTACATAGTAGCCATTAATTATTTTAATGGTATGTCTGTGTGTAAAGAATCTCCTCTTGGATCATGAAATCAAGAGCCTACTTAAGTTGTTGAGTTCATTTTTTTTTCCCCTGGCATTATAAAAGAAACCACACTTAAAATGCCTTGCTTCACGGGATTATCTGGATGAATACTCCCTACTCCAATGAGTTATTTTACTTCAGACTAGTCCTAATCCGGTTTTGTAGATCGAGCACGCATTATTTCTTGAAGCAAACATTTCCAATGAGTTCATAAAACAGACTGTTAGCTTTAAAACAAAATTTTAATAGTGATTAAGCTATCCACCCTTTTCTTAAATCTAATATTTTTTCCATATTATTCCTCTGCAGCAGGTTCAGTAAGACAGGTGAGCAGGATTTCACATCACATTTTGTGATGTGAATTATGTTATATGATTTAATATGCCTCTATTACATAGGAGGCATTTCACATGTGTGATGGACAAAAAGCAATGTGATCAAGTTCAGAGGTTCCCTGGAGTCAGTGAAAACAGAACAGAAGTTCTTTTTTAATTCATGCTAAAAGAGGAAGCTAGACCATTTTCCAGGATCCTCAGAAACTAGAAGGATGAAAAACAGAGCTATTCCCGTGAGAATTATGTTACAGAGATTAAATTCCTTAACTTTCCATACCCTTTTATAATTATATTTAAAACTAAGTGTTCCTATATTTTATTTTCTCTGTTTACTAAACTTAAAACCAACAGATTAATTCTCCTGCCAGTTCTCTCAGTGTAAAAACTAAAGTTACTCCCCATCCTACCACCCCATCTCTTATTCAGACCAGTTTTACAGTAGAGCAACTTCTGTGTTTTGAAATCGTATATTAAGAACAAAAGTAAATGACAGCAGAATCAGGCCAATGGGCTTTTCAGACATTTAGAAACAGCTATCAATCCAGTTCATAAATTCTAATCTTCAAATTAAACTACTGAGCATGCTCTAATTAAATATGCAATATCTAAAGATGTCCAAATAGGTAAATTCAGTGGTTAATTATATATGTACAGAAACAAAAGCTAACACGGTATTTAATAAACTTCAGTTCACCTGAAAAGCTTCCTAGGAATCAAACATACTCTGTTTTGTAGTCCAGACAGGACTCTTGACAGTCTCTCAGGAAATATGTATAAGTCATGTATCAGTTTTAAGAATAGCAAGAGTATACGGATATACACATCTACTAAAAGCAGCTTCATATTTCTTCTGATTCTCTTTCCTTCCCTCTCCACAGAAGAACTGTTTGAAATACCAACAGTAGGTTTTAGAATATCTGGGGTTTTGCTTGTAGTTGAGAGGTTGAGTGCAGGTATTTAATTTGTCAGCTGCTTTGTTTTACAAAACTATAGTACACACTTCCTTCAGTCCTATGAAAGGATAGTCACAATGTTCTGACACAAATATTCCTTCTATGCATATGTTAGGTGGCAGTGTGTATGAAAAACAGTAACTTTCCTGTAAATCCAAATTCCTAGGTTTGTTTTCACCAAACTAGAACAGGCCTATTCCAATGTTTGCACTTGGAACTAAAGACTGAAATGCTTTCTCTTTTCTGTTCTATTTAGCTGTTCAGAACACCATCAAAAATGTTGGTTTATGCAGTAAAACTTTAAGATGCAGTACATAAGAAGCAATTATTTTGAACCTCTTTTCCTCCACTTAAAGTATATTTTGAAAACCTCTTATTCTCAACCAGCCCAACAGCTGTTTAAAAACTTCAAAGTACAATTTCCAGATCTTAGTACAAAAGAGTCACTAAGCTAAGTGAAGAAAAATTACTTGCTAATTTTAAAGTTGTAATGATTTTAAATTACATTTTGTGCAGTATTTAATTTTTCATTACTCTTTCAACTGCACATAAGTGGACTGGAACTATCTGTGAACAAAGCTGCTTGTTCAAAAAACAGAACCATTTTTTAATGGTCACAGAAAGAAAAGTGTTTACTGCTCTTTGTGAGCTTTTACTGTAGTCATGATTTTTGATGTACACACCTAGACAGACTTTTGGGGCACCAAACACCTTCTTAGGGTGTGTGTCAAGGGCTGGTGTGCGTGAAAGAGAATCTGATTTTTCTAACTATGACAGATAGTACAATAAAAGATAGGCTCTCTTCCTACAGATTTTATGCTTAAATAATTGCATTTATTTTGAAGTATTCCAAGAAGCAGTATTTTGTTAGTCTTTCCTAAAAGTTGATTCACAATTCTACATTTCCACTGAAAAGATTTTCTTTCTTAGAACCACACTGAAAAAGTATGAAATAATGTATCAAGCAAAGTTTATGAATCCTAATTTCCCACTGTTATGGAGATTCACTATAATAGAAGCCTAACTAGTCATACCAAAACCCAGATAACTTTTATCATTTTGAGAGAATTACAATCATTCTAAAAGGAGGCTGAGTGATCAAGTTCTTTTATGCAGCAAACATTTCATGATCTAGAAACTTCAAATAGCTTTTTGTCTGTTTATACTTTGAGTCAAAAAAAAAAGAATGTGACAACAGCCCTAAGAGACTAAGAAGCATCTTCGTGTTATTTTTAAAAATAATTTTTCTAAAACCTCTCTCATCCCTGTAGAAAGTTATGTCAGGAAAACACAAGTTTTCTTCTCTTACTGAAACGCTTTTTGCCCACCTGCTGCTGATTCTACCTGAAGTTGCCACAGAGCCAAAAACCCCTGCTACCGTAGGTTTTTTGCTAGTGAACTAAGGTTGGCATAGCAACTTGGGTTACTACTGAAGCAATCTGCCTGAAGAGATTTAAACCTGTCAACTGGAAGAAGTCTGAGGTCTCCACGGTTTTCTGTTCTACACCGTTGAGACTGCAGTTTGAGTAAACAGAAGCCAGAGGAGTGAAACGAGTAATTTTTATTAATTGTCTTCTGGCATCTTCTGTTTGGAGGTTGTCTTCTGTCTGATCAGATTAAGCTCAGTACTTAAACATACGACAATATACCTGATACTGTGCCTGTCATGCATTACAGACTAGGCATCAAAATATATCAGTTACAATGCAGGACACTCAGCTAACCAGAATGTATCCATCCCAGGGGAGATGGGCAGTTTCATGTAAAATGACAGAGCCCACAGCCTTAAGTACAAGCAAAACCACCTATACCACTCTGAGGCAAAGAATGCTAAAAATTCTGAGGGTGAAGTCTGTTATCAGATTCAGAGCAAAAACACAGGGTAGCATTAGGTATCATATAAATGTGAAATGCTCTGCTATGAAGGTTGGCATGTAGAGGATTAAGAATAAAGAATCATTATGGTGTAACATAGTGGAAACACTACCACTGTAAAAAGATGAATAGTTCATAACCTATATTGTAAACTAAAATAAGAGATTAAACAGGTTTATAAATGCATGACAATGCTTATTGTTCTTTTTAAAAATGAAATTACACTAAAGGGTAAATGAGACATACACAGAAGGAAACAAAACACAGAACTCAGTTTCCCTGCTCAGACTTGGAAAGATATTGCTGATGAGCCAGTCACGATCTCTAAGCAATCCTTATTATGTGAGAAAAATAATGTAAGTACAAGTAGCCCAACATACTCCATGCAGAAACAATGATTTGGGGGCTTTATGCCATACTAGCAGATTAGGACAATTAGTTCATTAGAGGCATCGTTCTGAAAAAGAATGTTTAAATTCTCCATGAGCAGTTAACCAGAAGTTGAAACTGGCAAGGGATGTGAAGGGCCAACAGAAATACAAGCAATTGAGGAAGGGCAATAAAAATGTCAGTCCCAGACTGAAAGGGGCTGAATGACCTAGTGACAAATGACATAGACAACACTGAGGTATGCAATGCCACCTTTGTTTCACTCATTCCTAGCAAGGGCTGCTTTCCAGCCCTGCACCAGGCTCTACCAGAGTCTAGAGGAGATGCTACAAGGAGAGGGAAGTGTGGTGTTAGACCCTTACTTAAGTGAGCTGGACATACACAAGTTATAGACCAGAATGAGATATATCTGAGGATGCTGAGTGAGCTGATACACTACAGGACATTGCGACCATTCAGTGGGACCTTGCACAACTATAGAGACAGTCTGCCAGAAACCTCATGAAGTTCAACAGTGACAAATGCAAAGTCCTGCACCTGGGACAGAACCAGAGCAGCATCGTATGCTGCCGGGGACCAGATGACTTGGGAGCAGCCCTGCAAAAAAGTGCCTGAGAGTCCTGGTGGATTTTAAACTGAATATGAATCAGAACCACATTTTTGCAGCAGTGAACGTTAACTCTATATTGGGCTGCATTAGCAACAGTATATCCAGCAGGTCAAATGAACTGATAATTCTCTCCCTACTTGGCAGTCCTTTGAGCACTCTGGAACACTGTGCCCAGTTTTGGCTCCTCAGTACAAGACAGATACTAACAAACTAGAGCAAGTCAACAAGAAGGTTTCTGAGATGATTAGGGAGTTGGAGCATAGGACAAGAGGCAAAGGAAACTGGGATTTTTACCCTAGAAAAGTCTAAGGAGGGAATTGTAGTCCTTCACTACCTCAGGGTAGATACAGGTAAGAATAACCCATACTTTTTTAGAGGTACACCACAAAAGGACAAGCAGCAATGATGACAAGTTGTGACAAGGGTAATTGTGACTGAAAACAAGAAAAAAAAGAGGAACGGGTTGTACAGAAAAGATAGAAAATCTCCAAGGATAGAGATTGCCCAAACTCAAGTGGTCAACGCCCTGAGCAACTTCATATCTGAAGGCAGCCTGTCACTGAGCAGGCAGTTGGACTAGATCACACTGCCCATCATCCTATTACTCTGTCCTTGCAGAATGCTCCCACCTGTCTCTCAGTGCCACAAAGGATGTCATCCTCAGCCTCTCTTGCATCCAACATGCCCTGCTCCATCTAGCACTCTTTAGAGATGGCACCATTCTCTACAGAGACCTACAAATGTGTTTTAGTTTGGTTATCCCACCCCTTTCTTTCTGAAAAGTGAAAGTTAATTTATATGATATACATACAAACACTCACAATGTATCCTCAGTTACTTCTCCATTTACATTCCCACCTTTGTAACCGTCATGCCTTTTCAGGGGGAGGGTGCAGGGGGACATGTAAGAAAATAAATCCTTACCTGAAGAAAGACCACCACCTGGTCCATTCCACTAGAATATTGGATCAATCAGTTCTAAGTTTTGCAGATGATTTGTCAGACATAAAATACGTGGACTGTTGTGATTCAAGCTTGACATAAACTCTGACTGAAAAAAAAAATATCATTAGCATCAAGTATTTATCAATGGTATCCTAACAGTCAGCTATACAAATTTCAAGACTGTGCTTCAACGATGATCTTAATGGAGCTCTAATTTTGGGACTGGTTCTGTTACCTCTACCATCAAAATTAAATACCAAATAAACAGCAGGTTTGTCTTCTCCAGAAAGTAAAATTAAGAGAATTCTTTCTAGTTCTAGGCTTATCTGATTGTGTACACAAGAACCACAGTGCACTGTAACATCCTCCTAAATTGATTATGTCAGTAGGTTCTCACAAGCACAGGCTTCTCCAGCATTCTGTCTCAACTGGTGTCCAACACACACCTGGAGAGAGAGAAGTGTCTGTATGTTAGTCCAGCATATTCAGACTTGAAAGCTTGCTGTTTCCATTCTATTAGCAATTGCCTTTTACCAGTGCACAATGTATTTGCTTAAAAAGGGTTTAGTGTTGTAGCTCACTAATTGGTGAGCTGCCTATTGTTTAATTCGGAGATAATGAGATAGGAAGCAAACCAAGGTAAGGATTTACTTAGTCTTCACGCAGTAAAGCAGATGTGCACGTCTTGTATGCGATTTGTAGCAAACAGGTGCTTCTAGATCTTCAATTGTTTATAAAAACTACAACTGGCATAGTCATAATCACTTCCATAATATGCAGGATTTCAGTGTGTACAATTTGTTTTATTTTCCTTCCCACTGACATTCTGCAAAGCATTTGTCCTCTTCAGAAGTATGAGATGCTAGATATTTATGCTGTAGTGAGGTCTAAACTTGAATATACCGTGCTCTGTATCAGGCTACCCTAATGCCACTGAAAAGCTACAACTAGTATAAAACATTACAGCTACTACAATGTTTGTGATTTGGAGAATCTCAGTAACAATTACAACTGAATCAAATAAGCAAATTACCACAATGTTATCTTACCATTGACCACTTCAGATTCCCTGCAACTGGAAAACAATTTAAGTACTCATTGCAGGAAAGGATTAATGCTTAGTAAAATTTTTTCACTTTTCCATTACAGTAACTGGTGGTAATGCCACCACAGTTTTCTCTCCTCCAAGTATGATTGTTCACTTTCATTAAAAAATGAAAAGCCACTTACATTCACATTACAGTACTAAATTGTTTAAACAGAATAAAGCCTTAGATATAACATTTAATACATAAGAATATCTTCAGATTTTTGATAGTCTTAAGATCAGTTGGTATGTCCATCCCAGCTAATAATAAAATTTTTACAGTAGTTTATACTGCAGAAAACAGTATTTTTTTTCAATTGTATAATATATTGTACATATATTACATATAAATACAATTGTACAATTTTATTTTCAATTGTACAATAGTATATCATGGAAATAAATGTCATTTACAGGTGGTGTTTCAGGTTTTTAACCCTGAGGCATGAAAATTTATTTGAATTCTATACGTTAATGCAATTGCCAATATGATTAGTCTTTTTTCCCTTGCAAATCCTTAATGCTTTTTCTCAAAATTTACTAGCCAACTGTCTTCAGTAGTAGTCTACTGGGGCAAAATTGTATACGTTGCATATTTCTTCCACTTCACATTTTGGTTTTTATTTCCATAATAAAAAGTAACAAAATTATGGTGTCATTATTATCATAACCTACCAAGATGGTAAATTCTGTCCCACCACTGTAAATTTCCACAACAGTTTTGTAAGCATGTATCATAGGATACTGAAGCGCATCTGTTAGAAAATAATGGCTGAAAAAATATTTACCAGGTATAACCTTATTCTTCTTGCTTTCAAAATAAAGTCTTATTCTTTTAAACAAAGTTCTTTGCTATTTTTCTCATTTGTTCAAATTCTCTACATTATAAAAATATTTACCTTAGATACTGATCAAAAAAAAAAAGAACATTTATGTCAGATATTTTAAAACTGCAGGATTTTAAAAGTGCAGGATTGTATTTAACCAAATTTTGGTGGAAAAAACCTAACTCAAAATACAGATGTTGCCCAGCATCTCAAAAGAACACTGGGGCCAAATCTAGTATACACACAATGGTCTGTCCCAGAGAAGGTGGAAACATTCTTTATTAATAGTAAAGCGTTTAGGAATGGAGATGGGATAAAATATTTTACTCTTGCCTTCTAACTTCCAAATTGCCTTGTGCCATTCAACTAGTAGCCACATTTACAGACATGAGTCAGAAGCAGAAGAGAGAAAAAGTACACTAATAGTGTGAACCTTTGACCACTCAGAGCCATTATTTAACATTAGATAATATTTTAAGATAAGCTACTAAGAGAAACCTTTAAAAAATTATTTCACAGAATTGGTTCACCTTTGGACAAAAACTGATATGTCTAAGGGTTTGTACCAAAAAGAGGTCAAAAAATGTTGTCTTTTAGCTTTCTCCCAAACAATAGAGGTATCACTTCTAGATATGCTACTAATAAAACTGTTACTGGAAAACACACATGGAGAAAACTATGGGGAAGAGTATTACTAAAACCAAGATGGCAATGTGCATTTAGAGAAAAAGCAACATGAGTAAATATATGGCAATGAGGAACAGCCCGGTCTTTAATTTAATTTTCATATTTTCCAATAATTGTTTTGTTTAATGAGAAAAGAAAGTGATAATATTACATTCTGGAGTTAGATGGATTTAACTTAGAAAGCAATTAATTCTTAACTCTTCTTAATTTTTGTTGTAGAATGTAACAAACTTCAGCTTCAGGTTCTGTGTACATAACAAGTAAGATGAAATCGGAATACCTACAGTGGAGGAAAGCAATATTTCAGAGCAAGAGTCCCACAGACAGGTGGAAAAGTACACAGAACATTGTTATTGTTATAACAATTACAGAAAATAATTATCTCAGTTTCATAAAAATTGTGAGTACAAATAAAAAAAACTTAAATAAATTCCAATGACAGAAATACATTACGTGGGATGGCCTATTAAGTACACATAAGTCAGTACAGAATTGTAATTAAACCACTTAAAATCATTTAAAACAATTCAACAATAAGGGATATGATAAAGAAGGGCCTTTTCTTGGTAAAAACAGTATTCTCACTAAAATTTGTTACATGATGTTTAAAGAAAAATACCTGGAAATACGACAGATCCTACTGTTTTTAAGCTATTGTGTCTTGGCCCTGCACTTTGTAAAAAAATCTCTTTGAGGGCTGAACTGTTGAAAGATAAAACAATGCCATCAATACAACTATTTAATTTATCTGAAAAAGCAAGCAGCATACTTCAGGTTAATCTACACCCTTTAATAGACTTATTCTTCAATGGATATTAAGTTAATATCTGCCCAATATCTTATACAATGCATGACTCTCATTAAGGCAAAAAAAAACAATGGCAAAGGCCTGGTGCCAGAAAAAGCATCCTTATTCTAAACAGCACTTAAGTTTAGACTTAGTTTTAAATATATTCATGTTTTACAAAAGAACTATCGCATTTTAAATTCAGACTGTCCATAAAGGGGAAAATGGGGATAGGCACTGTCCACAATGAGGACAAAATTTAGCTGCCCTGTTATCATAAAATCATAATGGTTGGAAGCGACCTCAAAG